TCCCAAAAAACTATTGAGAAAATCGAAAAATAATCTCTTTAAAGTAGGTAGGTACCATCTTGATCCAATTTGCTAAAATATCAGATACTATAATAATATGTTAATATCGAAGAACTCTATGTGGTAAAAAATTTGTTTATAGAATAAAAAAAATAAACATCATATAACTATAAACTATACGTTAGTTCTTAACTTCTTACAAATGAGGTGTGTATTGTGTATAATGTTATAAAATAGTGATATATTTACACGTTGAAAAATTGAATTTGTGTAAATACAATGGTAAATCGTAAATAGGTAGATACTGAAAAATATTTCACTTCTTATTAGATAGGTACCTATATTATAATATAAAATATATTATTAGTACGAACAACTGACACTGTACGTAGTAGCACACTATTAGGTACTTTTGCATTTTAGAAACTTTATGAGTCACCTATAGTCTATTCCACGAGAGAACCATCAGTCCGATGACCGATACTCGTCAGGGCCGCGCATCCCCCACCAACTTCCTTGTGTTAACGTATGATCAAGTGGTTATCTACTCAATACTCACCAATTCGTGATGAGCGAAAAGTGATTATACTCTCGTGGAATATACCATAGATAAAAGATTTATTACATAAAGGATAATTATATAGGAATATACTATAATCACACCACGATGTAGATAATACGGTGCTGTAGTCACTTGACGGCATTTAATGAGGGTATTATCCGCCAGGAGCCAGGTGGGGGACTAGGTTGGTTTAAGGGGGCACATAATGCCCCCCTGACATCGTAAATTACTTATAAATAATAATTTCTTGTTGGTCTTTTAAGTAAAATGTTTGATATTAAAAGGATTATTAAAAGGATATTTTAAAGGATATTTTGAAGTTTTCAGCGCTACCGGTGGTTTTATTTGGCTACACAATTTGTATCTTAGTCCGTGTTAAATACAGAGGGCGCTGTGAACTCCAAGAACAGATAGCGACCCCCCGCACTTTGCCTCTTGTACATACATTCGTGGCCATGATAAGCTGCTCGTTTCCAGTCCATTATATCGGGTGAGCCTAATTGACTGAACTGAATGACTGAATGGCTGAATGGACGAGTTCTTCTCAGTGGTGCCGACAAGAAAATAATATCGGTGAAAATAAAAAAGGGATTATCAACATATTTTAAAATATTATTAGTTATCACTTATCATTGTTAGTTATAATCATTAATCACTACTGATAAAAATTATTAAATTATTAAATTAGTGACTAATTAAAAATTACAATAATTGAATATTGATAGTTATTAATTAGTATCTTAACTGTTGACTTTGATGTAGGTTTATCCAAATATTTTCTTTTATTTGATGATTCTAAAATTAATTTATCAGCTTCCAATGACTGGGTCTATACATGGTAACACTCTCCTGTACTTTTACTACTGCATGTGCATTGAAATTTCTTCCCAATTTTGCTCACGACATGTGTCCTATTAGAAAACGCATTACGTACGATGTGTACCTACAAATGAGGTGAGAAATCAATCAACTTATTTTCTAACACATAATTAGCCACTGAAATTTGTGCCATTCTATAGGTAGGTTTTTTTTCAATAATTGATTTTGTTTCAATTATATTAGATTTAATATTCTTTACAATTTCTGAAATATCTTCAGTAATAGTTGAAGTAGGAATGTTTAATTCATATACTTTATTTTGATATTCTTCTTTAAGGTGATAATCTCCTATATTTGCATTTTATATAAAGAGAGAACTAATGTATCTAAAGGTAAAAATTACAATAATTGATAGTTATTAATTAATTAACGTGTACAAATAATTTTTGTTTTTAACTTATGACGATTAATGATAATTTAATGACATAGTAACGATCACTGAACTATGAATATGTTATAGGTATGAGATATCGGTTTCCAATATATTCGATTTGCACTTGATGAAGAAATAAAAATAAAAAATATATGACCCTGCAGTCTTCACAATATAATGGACTTTCTTTGGTTAATTTTACATAAAACCACAGAATTTCTATTCAAGAATAATATTATTGTTAATGGTGTTTTAATCATTTATTTTATTGCTATTTTGTATTCGTTTTAAACTATATTTTTTCAGATGACATTATAAATTCGGAATTCCCTATATGGCGAACGATTGAGTTGCAAATTGATAATATTTCTACTCTACATGCAGAATATAATCTAATGGTTTAGTGGATAATTTCTGCAATAGAACTGTACAGAGAAGATTTGAACACTGTGACTTTGGTTGGCATTGATGAAACATTCAAAACTGTACCTAGTCACCCAACCGACTTGAAATGTCTGCTGACATTTCAAATAGTATTCAATAGTGTTGTAAGTACATATTAAATATCACTGTTGTCAGTATATATTATTTCGACATTATTTTTTTCTGTTTTAGGCATTTCCAATGGTGTATGTACTTTTAGGGAGTATGACTGAAGAGACATACTGTGGTGTACTCAGTATTATCAGACAAATGTTACCTTTAAATTACGACAGAGTTCGGTTTGTGACCGATTATGAAAAAGCACTGATGAATGCAGTTGAACACATTTTTCCAACAAGCAGATTAGTTTGTTGTTGGTTTCACTTTACCCAGTCTATCGTGCGATACTGCCATAGAAAATTGAACAATGTACTAAATTTAATCCGAACGCATGAAGAAGCAGCTAGGATTCTTAGAATGGTGATTTTTTTAAATTTATATATTAAATTTAACATGTCTTAGTCTAATACATTTTTTATCAGGTCTTAGCTCTTCCTCACTTGCCTGCCACAAGAAACAATCCACTGTGTCCAAATATTTGTGTGTTAGATGGATACAATGTCATAGTACAGTATGCCAGACAATTTCCTGAAATCCAAGTCATTGAAGAACATTTTTTGGATAATTACATCCTTGGTTTTTGGATTAACCAAATTGGACCAGAAAAATTTAGTGTCTTTGGAGAAGATCACCGTACAAACAATAATTTAGAATCGTTCCATTCAACTTTACTCAAGCAAATGGGTACCCACCCTAACATTTGGGATTTCCTACGTGAGTTATTGAAGTAGTTCCTAATGAGTGATCTCTATGTTACATGCTTGTTCTAAATGTTTTTATGTTTATGTGTTCTATGTTTGTGTTATATTTACAGATTAATCAACGACATGCAATAAAAAAAGATAAGTTATTCATGTATTTGAAATACATCAATATTATTATATTGAAATTTGTTCTATGTTTGTGCTGTATTTATAGATTAATCAACGTCCTGGGAAAAGTAAAGATAAGTTATTCATGTATTTGAAATACATCATTATTATTATTATTTTCATTTTTTGAAAACTACTTATTTCACTACCTATAACTGATTTTGTATGCTTATATTACACTTTGTGAGTACTTTGTCAATGAGAATATTGTTGATAAATATTGTTGATATAATTATTAGTATTGCATGCAACTAATATTTGCTGATGTATTGTATTTATGTTGAACACTTCAATAATGTTATTGATCAAAGGTAGACAATCTACATTTAAAGTTAAGTTAACATTTTTTTCCATAATAACTTACTTATCAAGTTAAATGTATGGTTAGTTAATTGTTAACTTATCAATCTTGTGTTTTCTTAACTTGACTTAAGTTAATTATTTTCCTTAATTTGTCTACCATTGTCCATTGGTATTAATCGCTATATCAATACTAGGTGTTCTGCTTAATGTCTTGATTAGCTAGTGTTGATTTGTTTCTGTGAAACATTTTATTATAATTTGCAATTTATTGCATACTAATGTCATGTGTTCATCTTTGTTATTTACAGAAAGGTTGGTTATAATTGAAAATCAATTTTTTGTAGAATTTGGACAACGGCAAAGAAATTTACAAGTAATTTTCTTAAAATGTGTATGGCATTTAATTAACAAATTAAATAATTTATTTAATCCAACAGATCAGAGATATGCGCTCAAGAGCACAAAGAGAAAACACAACAAGAATCATCAGAGAAAATGTTCAGCAACTCAATAGAGATAATGACATTTTGGCATTCTTGAGGAGAACTGGCCACCTCAATGATGGTTATGTTTTTGGTCAAATTGGACCATATCCTTGACATTTTGTTATTTTTTTTTAATAAAATGACTAAAAGTCCACTACGTACTTAGAACTTATTAAATAGCCACAATGTATTTAATCAACAAGCTTATATTGTTAAATTTTAAATTAATAAAAATTATAATCTAAATATTATATTTATTCTTACTTATTGTTATATATATTAATTATAAGTGTGGAAGGTGTCAGCACTGTGATTGAAAATGGTGGGTAGGGAGAGCAATAGACACCAATATACAGCCAGTGCAGTGTGAATGCGTTACCCTATCGATCATGTAGACCGTCCCATAGCGGTAACTGCATGAGTACTCTTGTTATAATTATGTGCATATTGTCTCTTTAATTTATGAGTGTTAATAAATATTGCAGTTATATGAATTACATTTTTGTGTTTATTAATATGAGTTTATAACATTATAAATTCCTTGGATGTTAGACAACACTAGAGTATAACTTTAAATTACTACTTTTATGTTATTGATGTTTGGAAGTATGAAATCTAGTTATTTAATTGAAATGCATAAATTCTATTAAACAGTTAAATGGATTTTAAGAATTTGAGATACCAATTATGTATGTATAATAATGTTACTAAAAAATTTGGTATGCAGAATTTGAGTTAAGGCTTATGTTTGTAGATCGATCTAGACAAAAGTGACTACACTGTTTTTAGTAATAAGTAATATCATACTGTAGTTTCTATAGTATGCTAAAAGTCGGCTTTATATACAAGTGACCAATTTACCTTGTTACACATATGGTGTGGTTTACAACGATGTTACTATTGCACAACATGATGTTACTTCTTATACAATATAAAATTATACTCAACAAGAATACAACTGATTCAGGTACTAGGATGCTACTATGCAGTATGCATTCTACTATTTAGAAGTAGAAAACATCTTATGTATCTTATGTGGATATTCTACTATAAGTGCACTTTTGAAAGTTTACAACATTGCTAGAAAAAATATTGACAATAATAATAAGGTAATAGGCATTTTTTTAGATGTTCAGAGAGCTTTTGATTGTGTTGTTCATAAACTATTGATTAATAAATTAGAACATGCAGGTATTCGTGGTATACCAAATAGATTACTGATTTCCTTCCTAAATGGTAGAACTCAAAGAGTCAAACTCAATGATCAGTATAGTGAAATACAAAAAGTATCTTGTGGTGTAGGTACCACAAGACACAGTTGTATTATTCATAATATTTATTAATGATCTCTTAAAAATTCCTATGAACTTATCAGCTTTGCTGATGATACTTCGATTTTATTATCTGAACAAACAATAGATACTTTATATTATGAAGCAAATATAATATTTACTATATACTATTACTTATGCTATATAAGAACCGCTCCCCCCCCCCCCCCCCACAAGTTTGGCTTTTGTGCTATTTAATTTATGTTCATTGTACATATTATAATGATTAATGTATCACCTATTTGTTTTGACAAAAATGTATTATTATGTAGGTAGCAACACACTTTTTGTATCCATCAAGAAATCAACTAAAAGTTGTAAAAACTAATCATTCCTATGATGTTGCTACTTGCTAGTACATTAAGGTATGGCATGGAAATATTACTGTTTTATTCTGTGAATAAGCAAATAGGTTTATATATGCTAATTGTATGCATTATTAATATTTATAAAAAATAGATAATTTACTAAAGAAAAAAAAATATTTAAACTTGTTAAGTTAAGGAACGAATTTAAAAAAGGAACACTTTTTACTATGGAAAAGACTTAGAATAATGAATACATTATACATTATATGTATTTTATTATATTCTTTACTTTTGATTAAAACATTTAGGTATATAGACATAGTTTAAAAAGTGTTCTGTACAGGCAATTTTACTGCAATTTCATATTATTGCGATACCCTCGTAATTTCGTAAACCATTGAATATATAAAAATGTTGTACTCTAGCAAAATTGTTTAACATATAGGCTTTCATAGTTGTGCAGGCTGGTTTTTGGTCTAAAATATGGGATTTTGCTCTCAGGTTTATTATGATTTTGGAAATTCTTAAATCTTCCTTTCTTTATAAAACCTTCGAGGGTCGAAGAAGATGTGACCCTAGACTTCCCAGCTCAAAAAATAATTTTTCACTCAATTATATATGGGTGGTTAACGAAGTTTTCGAAATTTGAATTTAAAAAAAAAAAATTGGCGGGTAATTTTGTTTTGCCGATTTCTCAAACTTAGAATCGAGACTCGGTTTTTTTGAGAACGTATATTTGATTAAGAGGTGTCACTGCGTTGAACCTTGAGGATTTCAAGACGTTACGACCAATATTAGACTTTTTAGGTTTTTTCGATATATTACGATTTTAAAAAAACCAAATCATTTAATATTAATTCTATCTACCTAAGACCTTCGAGGATCGAAGCAGAAGCGGCCCTACACCAGTTCCCAGTTTTTAAAAGTATTGAAACTCAAATATTAAGGGGGTAAACGTTGAGTTCAAAATTTGATTTTTTCAAAAATAAAATTGGCGGGAAATTTTCTTTTGCCAATTTCTCAAACTTAAAATCGAGTCGCGGCTTTTTTGAGACAATAAATTTGATCTCGAGGGTTGTCTGCTTCGATCCTTGAAGGTTTCATAACGATACGACTTATTTTGAAGGAGCTAGTACTTCAAAATATACATCCAATTTTGTGTTGTTAGCTCAAATACATATATTAGAGTGAATTGACCTATTATTTTATAGGTTTTAATATTTTATTCTTATATACCTATCGATTTACATTAATGAATAATGAGCTACACGCCTACTAAAATAAGTGTGAAAAAAAGTTCAATATAATTATTACTTGATACGTTACACAGACGTATACCACAAGGAGACGCCTTGATAATACGAAAAATAGCATAATTTGTTTTCTAACTTTTTGCTACTACGATTTCGGGCGAAATAATGGTCGTACGTATTTTGACCATAGAGGTTTTTTGAATCCTCGTATGCCGAATGATCAGATTCTAGAATTTTGTAGTGATCAAACGAAAAAAAAAAATCTAAAAAACACGTAAATACGTAATTTTCTAAGTACAAAAAACACTTTAAAAATCATAACTCCCGAACAAAAAGTCGGATCACCTCGATCTCGGTGCCAATCGTTCAGGCGTAAAGTGCTCTATAATGCCCGACTATAAAAACGGCTCGGAACGCCCAAAATCTAATTGTCAGCAACGAAAACTCCGAAAAATGCAAATTTTGAACTTTTGAAGCCCCAAAAGACGGAGAAAAACGGCTCCTATGGGCTCGACACAAGACGCCGAATTTGATCACCGACCTCCAAACTATACAAATCTTGAGTTTCAGAAACTTCATACAAAAACTAAACCTTTTCCAAAATACACCTAGGGGGGTGTTCGAGGACCCCCGGCTCCGGGAGTACGTTTTAGAAGGGCCTAAACCGAAACGTTTGGGAACTTAAAAGTATGATATTATCTTATGTGAACGTCATCTACAACCTATAAATGATTTATTGGACTTTAAAACTATTACATATTTATACGTTAGTTCGCATTTGGTAATTACGCCAGCAACATACAACTTTCTATGCCAGAAGTTTTCCTAGAAGTAGGTAGTTACCTATTCATATAAATATATAATCACATCGATAGTAAATCTCATTAAGAGTGTTAACCATGAAAAATTGTTTATATAATTGACGAACTTTAAATTTCAATCATCAAAGCTTATGATGTGTATACGTCTCGAAAATGATTATGACTAAATGTATTTTGTTATAATATTATAATATGACATGTCTTTAAATCTACTAACGCTGGACAATAGGTATAAACGTATAGTTAATTAGTAAATGACAGATGTATATTATAATATTAGGTATGTACTATCTATTCAGAACTTTTGTGGTCGTCTGTTTGTGGATGAGATACCTACAGGTTAATCTATTTATTATATTTTGCGGTAGGTATTTATTTCCATGATTTTATACATAGCGCAGTGATGCAGCCCGTTTAGTATAAATATATAGTATGAAATATGAATATTATAAACATATTTTAAACCGTATCAGAGTAACTCAGTAACCGAAAAGTGCTACTTATCTTGACACGGTGGAAACATGAAGTGGGTTGGTCGGTTTTAGATTAACTAACCCTTTTAAGAAATACATCGGCAACATAATATGCAGTAGTATCTTTAATTCGTGGTTACGACCATGGTAGTTACCAACCAGTTGGTTATGGGGACAGTTCAGTTCCATGATAAGAACTAGGACCCGTGATAAGAAATTATATGGGATGGGACTTGAATTTTATCGTTGGCACCACTGTTGAACTCGTCCATTCAGTCCATTCAGTCATTCAGTTCAGTCAATTAGGCTCACCCCATTATATCTTAGTTCATGAAACTTATATACCTCGATGGTGATAATAGATAATAGGTTATCTTTAATTGCTTTAATCGTGATGTGTTATCAAAGTAAATTATAAACATAAGCAACTTTATCAGTACAAACTACAAATTGTTGATTGTTGAAAATTCAAAATACTAAAATAGTAAAATAGTAATATACATTATACATAGTACATATTACGTCCTATTGTATGAACTATGAAGGAAATTGGCAATTGAATTGTTTATCGAATACTGTTAGCAAATAACATAATTGCTTGAAAATCGTACGAAGTAGAATGACAAATCATATTCGTTAAAACGTTTACATAACAATGAACAGGGGTAGGTAAATGATAAATGTTATACCTATAGTTATACTTTTTAGCACAGAACACTTTTCACACGGTAGACATTGGACGACGTCGGATTACTCGGATTGATGGTGATGGCTAATCAGCCGCAGGTCTTTGCTGAAAACCATTAAACATGACAGGATTATTCATGTTTAGATCAATACCGTTCAGTAAGTTACTGCGAAAAGCTGGCCAAGCTGTTAAACGGTATGCCAGAAAATCGCAACCATATCCATTTGTTGGCCGAGTCCATAGTTTATTGTGGGGTAACCAGCAGTATGGGATTGCTGGCATACAAATTTCAATATCATTCTCATAGCATACACATTTATAGTGTTATAAGTTTATAACAAATGAAGGGACATTTATTTTTTGATATTTTGATGACCGTCAGTTCATAAAACAAAATACCTTTGTAATTTTTTGTATATAATTATTAGATACCATACATGTACATTAAGAGTCGTATGCATCATTACTACCCAATTAAAGTAACGTATACTTTATAGAATACCTTCTGTTTTTTATGACTACAACAGTACCTAATACCTTTACTAAATATTAATTAACTATGTTTTTTAGCATTGCATTTGCAAAGATAAATTTAATTTCCAATTTGTGGCACAAACTCAATCTAAATACCCGGTTATCTATAATTATCTAGGTATCCCAAAAATATACAAGAAATAAGAAAAGTGCATGATGTACTAGTGAAGGCCAATAGATATTTTTCTTAATTAATTTAGTAATTAGAATACAATTCAATGTTAATAACCTACCTGTTTTTATTTTTTTATTATTGTTGTCATTTTTTTATGTTTTTAATTATTTCTTACACCTATATTTTCATATTTTAAATAAATAATTTCCAATAAGTATTTAAGCAATTAAATTTAATTCAGTATCAGCTTTTACAATACATAAAATTAATAGTTTTAATATTTAACATTGAAGTATACAAATGTTATTGTGTGTAAAATAATATACCAGACCTATACTTGCATGTGTTTTTCAATATTGATTAATTTTAATTTTAGCTTGGTATTAATTGTCATTAATCTTATATAATTATTTGTATAGAACTCGATTAGTACCAAATTATTGATGGTGACAGTATAATACAGCAAACAAGTCCTCTTGTATTTTTTCAAAAATGGAATGATTTCAAACATAAAAAGGCTTGGAAACTTGAAAATAACCAACAAGTACAAAAATCCTAAATTATCCTGGGTAGCCACTTCATGATTGACCACAACGATAGAACAAAAAAGTAAATATATATTCGTAAAATAAATATTTATTTTGCTTCTATTTTTTTGTTGTTATTCAGATCTCTAACATTTTGTGCAGATGAGTTGAACACAAACTTTGGTCAGTTTGGTTCAATCAACTTATGCTAAATACTAATCCTAAATTCTTCTTACCATCTAGAAATTTAAGCTTGACAAAAGATGTATAAAAACTAGTAATCATCATCATCA